TGCATTTCTAACAATACAAATGCTGAACTCAAGTGAATTTGCACTTGGTTCAGTTTTGTAAGCATTTGGTAATAATACATTTTTTTTTTTGTATTAAAAGAATATCTGAAAATGATAATAAATTTGTTTTTTTTTCCTGATATATTTGCATTAAATAAGAGCAAAGTTTGCTTTCCAAAAGTCGTAGCAAACTTTTGCACACAAATTTGGTTAATGTAGAAAAAAACATTTGATATTGAAATTCATATTTATATCCATCATATGCAAATGCATTTGGTAATAATGCAAAACCAAACTAAGCTTACATTAATTGTATACGAGAACAAAAGTTGACATTTTAGAGAAAAAATATATAATAAATTAATTAACATGCTATTTTAAATGAATTTATATATATGGAACACTGAGATTAGGAATGTTTGACTAAAAATTTGTCTTAACATTAATAAATGCAGAGTTATGATTTTTTGTAAGTCAGAACATCTGCTTCCCCTACAATCCAAAGGCTGAAAGGAACTTGAGCTTAGTTTGAAAGATAAAAAAATCGATGTATCAAATTTGCAACTTACGTTCTTAGAAAAGACATTTATATTAAAAAGACATCAGTGATTATTTAAGAAAAGATGTCTTTCTAACTAGAGAACTAATAAGGTTTCAACAATGAGGACAACCCATTCCAAAATTTTCTCAAACATGAGGCCAAAAATGAAACATGAAGACATCAAATTAGCACTAGTGTAGGTTGTAAATCCCTACTCCTCGCATGCAATTGGTAAGGTGCAAATGCAAAATCAAAGTGAATTTGCACTCTGATTGAATTTCGTAACATTTCGTAATATATATATTTTTTGTATTGAAAATGAAAATAAAATTGTTTTTTCAACTGTTTTTGTATTTAAAATTAGTCATTGTAAATTAAAATCGATTGGATGAATTGGATGAACCAATGCAATGTTTCGAATTGTACCAGTCCATACTTAATGGGCCAAAGTATTTATTGGATTGGATTGGACCTTGTTCATCTGTAATGTATTTATATTGGATTTGGTCAAACTGAATCAATATCTAACCCATTGATAGAAGATAAGAATACTAGTGTCAATTTGACTAGGTTTGGATTAAAGCAAATTTAAATGAAAACTAATTTGAATAGATTGGACAGTCTAGGCATTAAATTGAACCTGTCCAAAATGGTCCAAAATATTCTTCGTATTGGATTGGACCTCTAGTTCAGATGAATAGGTTCAGCATTGAGATTGTATCTGCACCCATCACAATTAAACAAGTGGTAGTCAATTTATGAGTGCAAAACCAAATTGTCACGGGGCTAATCAACGAGGCCCCGTGCGGCGCTCGATGGGGTCGAGAAAAGCCTACAAATGCAAGTAACAACACACAAAAAGCAACAAGTAGATACACAAATTAGACAAAAGGCAGCTTGTATTGCATTAATCGATGGTAAGCACAAACACACAGTTCAATGTCGAAAGGATCTCGTGCTTAACCTTTACATGCTTATAACTCACTCGATTACCTACCTCCCCTCAAAGAGTACGTTAAGGTTTTGGGGGAGTGGCAAAAGGAAACATCAAAAGAGTGGAAAATCATACTAAGTAATTACAATAACGCCATTGGTAGTCCCCCCTTACAAGATACATACATAGCCCACCCATGACACACATGATGACACCATGAAGGCATGCTTGTAAGCACTCTGGTGGCATGGTGGAAGGTGCTTGTTGGCGCGATGAAGGAGTCACTTGTAACAATCTCCCCCACTCAATTCAATCTATGTCCTCGGAGATCGGCTTTGTCTGGTCCCTTAGAGCCACTGAAGTGGAAGGAGGGTTCTTCTGCTATTCCACGAACCGACTGTTGTCCATGGCCGAGGTGTAGATTCAGGTGGCATGGTTGGGTTGGCTTGTTCTGTTGGGGTTTCCTATGGCGTAGTACTTTCCTGCTGGCTTCAAGGTATGATGGTGGCTGGTTTGGCTTGGCTATAGGGAAGGTTTGGGCCAGGTAAGTGTCAAAATGGTATTTTGCATTTTTGGGGTGTTGGTTCCCATGATTTTTTCCCCAAGGGTGACTCATAGGGCTACTACGTGATTCAGTCTGAGGAATGGTACAAAAGTGGTCCCTAAATGGCTTGGGTGGCACTCGCTCTCTCCGGTGGTTTTGGTAGTAGGTGTGGGAGAAATTGGACACGGCCTTGGGTTTTCGGCTTTGCTTGACAGTTGTCGGCTCGCATGAACTCTGTTGCTGGAGTGGAGAGGATGGCTTGATGGCCTGCTGCTTCCTTCTGTTGTTGAGGTTGGCTTTAGGGGTGGCTTCTTCAACTAGTGGAGTGGGGAACTTCTCTGCTTCCTCCATATTGGCGTCGAACACGGCTTCTTCATGAAAAAGTTGTAGTGCTGAAACTTGCTTCCCATGAACCCTGGTAGAAGTCATGACTGCTACAATACAAGGGGAGTGCTCGTCCAAGATGCATAGAGAGTTGATGTGAGGCATGAGTGCTGCTTCTACCTGTGTCAAGAAGTCCAGTCCCAAGACAACTTGGAAGTCATCCAGGGGCACCATTGATAAATTAGTCCTGCTTGTCTACGACCCAACTTGGAGATCAACCCCACGAGCCATGCCTTCAATCGCCTTAGCCCCGGAATTCATGGCCTTTAGCCACCTTGTCTCTTTCACAATGTTTAGATTGAGTCACTTGGCCTCGGCAACCGATATGAAGCTGTGGGAGGCTCCTGTGTCAGCAAGGGCTTGAGTCGGCTTCCCACCGAGGAGGATGTCTACATACTTCAACCCCCTTTGGGCTTTCTTTGGCCTTTTGTTATTGGCCTCTTTCTTCACCATGGCATTGAAGAGTTGAAGGGAACCGACTCTTAGCGCCTGCACAGACTTTTCCTTGTCACTCTGCTCATCATCATTGAGCTTGGTGACAAGGGCATTGATCTTATTCCTAGTTGGGCGGTCGCGAACCAGGTGTTTCTCCCCACAGAGAAAGCAAGAACCTGGGGGCCCAGCGGTTCAGAGCTTGTACTGGTGATGAGGGACTTGCTCTCCTTGTGACTTCTTCTCGTAGTCTTGTCTTGCTGGCTTGTTGAAGCTGGAGCTATCGTTCGGAGGGCATGGATGACTTGCTCCCCCACTCAAATTTGGGGCACGCGAGCTTACTGGCTTAGGGGCTTCTTCATCTGATAAACTCGTCTAATTGAGTTGCTTTGCCACTGCCATTGCTGGCGAGGTCCTGCACGTTGCGTCGTTGGAGCTCCAGTTCGGCCCATGGCTTTAGTCCGTCCATGAAGTTGAACAATAGATCCTTGTCGGACATGTCCGTGATCTCTAGGGTAAGGGTTGAAAACTCTTTGACATTGTCATGGTGTGTGTCCCATGATTGAGTGCTTTCAACTTCTTCCGCGCCAGGTACTCCACGTTCTCTGGGTAGAATTGCCGCTTTAGTTCTCGTTTGAAATCAGCCCATGTCTCGATGGTGCACGTACCCCGTTCAATGTCTTGGCATCGCCTGCGCCACCATAGCATAGCAATGTTAGTCAAATACATGATCACTATACAAATATGAGTTAGGTCATCATCAATGCTAGCGGCAAGGAAATATTGTTCTATTTGCCAAAAGAAGTTGTCAAGTTCTTTATCATCTCGGGAACCGGCATAAGGTGTGGGCTCCCGAATCTTCACACGAGTAGGGGCCAGTGTTGTGGAGGGGCTAGGAGTATTGGCCGCTAATCTCTTGAGGAGCGTCATGTCTCCTCTTAGTTCATCTAATTGTGTTTGGAGGTCAGTAGGAGTGGCCATGGTTGCTTTCTTGGCCATCCACTCTCTTTTGATGTCTTCTAATTGTGCTTGAATGGCTGAAGGTGGGGGCATGGCTCTCTTCCATGTCGATCATTCAGCTCTCATCTCGTCAAACTGCTATTTGATGTTGGATCGAGATGAACTCCCTTCTTGTCAGGATGTTGTGCCAATGACTTCTTTGAGGTTGCCATTTAGGACGTTTTGAACCTCGTTCATGATGCCATTCAAGCGGGCTTCTAGCTCCACCATGGAGCTCTCAATTGTTTCCACGTTTAGGTAGATATCTTCTACTCAGTCACGCATCTCCCCAGTGGTCACTTCACAACGAATGATGCGTGTGTCGAAGGCAGCAAACTTGTCAATTGACTTGTCGTGCTTGCTCGCTTTGGATGTGCGACCTTTCAGGGCTTTCTTTGTGACGACTTCATTGCCTAGAGCCTCATCGGTCTCCCTAGCATGGATAAGGCCATGCTGAATCTCGTTGATGAGTTCCTTGTTGTGCTTCATTGCACCACCACTAGTGTTGCTATGCAAGGGTCACGTCCGTTGAGGAGCAACCTGCTTTGATTCTAATTGTCATGGGGCTAATTGATGAGGCCCCATGCGGCACTCGATGGGGTCGAAAAAGCCTACAAATGCAATAAACAACACACAAAAGACAACAAGAATGCACACAAATTAGATAAATGACAATTTGTATTGCATTAATCGATGATAAGCACAAACACACAGTTCAATATCGAGGAGATCTCATGTTTAACCTTTACATGCTTATTAGTCTTTCGACTACCTACCTCCCCTCGAAGAGTACGTTAATGCCGCATTGACAATCCTCTTGTACAACATAGATACATAGCCCACCCATGTAACAAAACGGTGTTTACCTTGCATCGAGTTACTAGGTTTTTGGCTTTTTAGCTGGTGCCAAGTGTGAGGGAGTCTCCAATCCCACCATTCATTTCTTCATTTGCTTGTGTGCCCACTTCTCATAGCGATTGGTCATTTGTCGAGTCCCGTTGCATTATTCCATTCCGTCGAGCCAGAGGCCCCAGATCACTCTTTGTGCAGAGTCAAACTTATGTGAATGATTGATTTGACGCCGAGGGCTTGAAAGTTAAAACGCAACAAACGAGACCCTAGAAGTGGGAATCAGGTTATAAACGTAGTAGGGCAAGTAGGGACGGAACCCACGCGGCCATGCCTCAACGGCCCAACGCACCACCCCATCCTTGCAGAACTGAACCCACCACGCCTGCACTCCTCGCTCACTCGCTCGTCGTCGTCTGTGTAAGAGTGTATAATAAGGCCATAAGCCATTCGGGATTTTTTCTCTGTCCCCCTCCTTCAACTCTGTTCGAGTCCATACTCCATACTCCAGACTCAAATTCTCATCAAGGTGTAGAAAGACGAGATCCTTTTTGGGTTTTTACTTTTCCCAGGGACGTCTCCCAGCCGCTCCGCCCGTCCGTTCTGCCATTCTCTTGATCTCTTCTCCGCCACACTAACAACAAACAAGTATACAAGAAAGGGAATACCGACGCAATATCGAAAATTCTCACTGATGACTGAACCAAATAGAACGAGGAAAAATAGACGCTGCTTTTATTTTTCCATGGCAGTGGCTTGGTCTCCTCTCCGCCACTAGCAAGACGCTGTTTGTACTTCTGCGACTGCTGTAAGCGTTTCTCACCCGCTTTTGCAGCCAGAAAAATCATCACTCTTTAGTTTTTACCGGATTTTGCTGTCTTTCGATTTTCTTCGGTGGATTTTCTATTATTTTTCTCGATTTCTGAGCTTTGCAAGCAATGTTGTAACAAGTCACGGACCGCAAAATTGTGTCATTCGATTTGTTTTTTCGTTTTCTATGTAAGAGTTCCTCTTCGTTAAATGTGCTATCACTGAGATCTTGGTTCTGGTGCTTCCTTTTTCTGCTTAGATTTGGACGCTCTGTTGAACTGTTTCTCGGAATAAAGAAAACATTTGTTTTTTTGCTATTCTATTTCGTCGGTAAAATTTCTTGTCCTCTGTTTCTGTTTACATTTTGGATTTTTGGAGCCATCGAAGAAAATTATAGTACTTGAGTTTCTCTGATAGTTTCTGATCGTCTTGTTCTGTTTTTCTCGGTTGTGGAGTTTCTGGTATATTGAATGCCCAAATTAACAATCTATTGATTCATTAACAAGCTCTCCAACATCTCCATTAGGTTGCAAGGTTTTCTCCCGTCCAAAATAACATGCTTTTCTATTAATTATTTATCAAATTTCTTCTTTCAATTTTCCTTAGCTACCAAAAAAAATTGCCTTGTAATTTACAGGTTATACAATAACTTTTTTCAAAAGGAAGAATCTTTCTCTTTTAATGTAACTATATCACTAGGCCGATTCTATCCACCTAAAGCTACAGAAAGCTCCCAAGATTTTTTTCATTTCTTCTTTCCTCCTTTATTCTTCACCTTCCATTCTGTTGTTCCTTTACTCTTCTTTCTCTGTCTCTGGCATACGTATGTTATTATTATTAAAAGAAAAGCTAATGTTTTTTTTTTTTTAATCCCGGCTTTGTTCTTTCCTTTTACGATCTTATGGAACTGCTTTCATTTCTCTTTCAATTTGGTATTCCTTTTTACTTAATCTGGTAGTTAGACTTCATTAAAGACAGCTACGTAATAGTTTCTGTTCGAAATAGCTGCAAAATTGAAATCGATCGTTTTTTTTTTTCTTCTACCTCTTTTTAATATTTATAATTGTAAAACAAAAAGCAGAGAGACATTTGTACTTCTTCAACATTAAAGGATATCGACGGCCAGTCGGCGTTGTTGTGCTGGATTCTTGCCCCTGAATGATCCAAAGGTATAACAATGAGAACAGGGTGTCACAAGAATCACACGAAGGTGAGCAATTTAATATTCCACAATACTAGCTAACCCGGACTACTCTATTACTTTCTTTCTTTTCTTGTTTGAAATTATTATTTGATTCAGAATTTGAGAACTCAAACCCAGAGATTTCCCGCAGTCTTCTTGGCCGAAAATAGTCGTAAGAAAGTGGTTGAACATCAAGAGCAGAGCCGACGAGTTTCATTCAGATTATGCCACAAGAGGTAATATTAATGAGTTGAATATCATATCGGGTTTCTGAATTCTGATCTCTACCTATCTATGTATGTTGTTTCGTATCGGATTTATAAATTTTGGATGGTCTCTTCTTGGAATGCAGGGGCCGTGGGCACGAGAGAAAGAAGGAAAAGCTGCTCTGACGATGAGCGATATGTTTTCCTGTCATGCGGCTTCCAAGGTAGTGTTAAACTTGTGTCCTCTGTCAGCAATCCCCGTCCACGTGAGAGCCCATGGATCAGGACCCGACCCCGGTTGATGGCCCAATTCATGGCAAAGGAGAGAGCCCCACCCTGTTTTCAATGGATGGATTGGATGGTATTAGCCGGCCCATGATCACATTTGCGGGACCAGTTAATTGGATGGTTGAGGGGTGCCGTCACATGTGGCATGTGGACGGAAGTCAAAATTGAGTGTGTATGAATCGTCATAGGATTTGGATGATTACTCACGATTTGTAGGGTGGGTGATGGAGACTGCAGAGAATCCGAAAGGGTCGAGATTCGAACCGGAAGGTCCAGTTATCGCTGATACTCTTGACCTGAGGTATCCATCCAATCATATAAGTAGACTACTATTTGACATTTTGACTTTCCTTATTTGCTGCTATTTTTTTATTATTAATTTTAATTTTCTACCTTTACGGGCTTTCTGAAAAAAATAAATGGAAACTGAAAACATTAAGAAAAAAAAAAAAGGAAATTGGAAGCTGCTCCAATTATTTTCCAATGGTGACTCGAATAATGCTCATTCCCTAAAATGAGTAAAGTAGCCCATTTCAAATGACATAATTTTTAAGTGAAGGAAAATTTGGTCATATTAAAGGAAAAGTTCTGTGGTTTTATTTATTTATGAATTTCTATTTCAGCTTAATTTGTGATTTTGGATGGACTAGGATGTTCGTTGGCACTTGGAACGTAGGAGGGAAATCACCAGACGAGCGCTTGAACCTAACGGACTGGCTACGGACTCCTGCTCCATCTGACATATATGTACTCGGGTAATCTCCTTCACCATTCAACCTAACTCGCTTTCTATATACAAACCTCCCTCCTCCTCTTCTGCTCCTGTTTGTTTTTAAATTATAAGGACGTTGGGACAGGGTAGGGAAGAGAACCTTCCTGTTTTTGTAGGTTTTGGGCATTCGACAAATCTCAATTGATTGATGAAATTTTCAATCTTGACTAGAGGATTAGACTAAATATGGACCCAAAAATCCTTGAGACTTGACTGGTTTCTACATTCTAATGAGACTCGAGTCTCTGTCTCAGACTCTTCTGTGCCAGTTACCAAGTTCTAACGAAATGGCCGTTTGGTTCACACTGTTCTCGTCGCAGTGCCAACCCCTGCTACCGTTTGGCCGGCCAATGTGCTTCCAGTATTATTGGCATTTTTCGTAATTTCTGCTAAGATGTACTGATATCTGCCGTATAAAATCAGGTTCCAGGAAATCGTCCCTTTAAATGCAGGGAATGTACTTGGTGCTGAGGACAACGGTCCCGCTACGAAGTGGCTATCGCTGATTCGTAGAGCTTTGAACGACAGCGACAAAGACCAAGAAGTTGACCGAAACAATACGGAGGACACCACTGACGCAAATTGTAAAGGGTGCTCCAATGCCCAGCTCGACTTTGACCACGGCAACGTGAAGCAAAAACCCAGAATTAGTTTCTCGGATCTTCTTTCGATGGAGGATGAACTGGATACAGAGGATTTTGAAAGGATTTGCAGTTCATTTCAAACTTCGAATTCAGGCGAGGAAGACTTGCTCTGCCTACCGGGAGGATTTTGCAGTCAAATGCGGAGCCAATATTGCTTGGCCGCAAGCAAACAGATGGTGGGTATCTTCCTGTGCGTATGGGTGCGCTCTGATCTCAGCCGATGCATTAGTAATTTGAAGGTTTCTTGCGTTGGAAGGGGCATCATGGGATATCTCGGAAATAAGGTTAGTGGACTTAACAATCTAAAATTTGGAATTAGAGTTTTTTTTCTTTTGTTCAAAAGAATTTCAGAAAACAAGAGAATGTAAATGCGATCGATCTGTCGTAATTGAAGAACCACATCTGGGTTTGCCATTCAAAACACAGACACACATATACGGCATCTGTATTGGGCTCGGCCTGGGTCCATTCAGAATGTAATAAAGGTTGAATCCAACTCGACCGGTCGACCCAGTTTGGTCGCACCCAACACCCTACCCAATTGTAGACTTTGTAGTAGGTAGGTAGGTGCCTAGGTGGCGGTGGGTGAAGGGGTGAAGGTAGCACGCAACATGGTAATATGGGTATTTGCTTATTTTACTTGTAGGGCTCCATATCTATAAGTATGACACTACACCAAACAACAACATTCTGTTTTGTTTGCACGCACCTGACCTCAGGCGAAAAAGAAGGGGATGAGGTGCGAAGAAATTCGGACGTTGTGGAAATACTGAAGAGAACGAGATTTCCTCAATCCAACAGAGACCGTGGTGGACGGGAGGTGTCCTCGTCATCCTCTCCTGATAACATATTAGGCCATGAGTAGGTTCTTTTTTATTCATCCTACCCCCGCTCATCAGTTCACCGTTTGACTGTCGTATAAATAATCTGCTTGTGGTCGATGATGGACATTTATTATTGGCTTAATTTCTAATGTGCATGCAGTAAGATTATTTGGCTTGGTGATTTAAATTATCGTCTCGCTTCGACCTGTGAGGATGACGACACTCACCAGCTTTTGAAGAAGAACGACTGGCAAGCCCTCCTGGAGAAAGACCAGGTGAGATAATTTCCCCTTAATTAAAATTGATACATTACGCAGCATATCCTAGCTACAGTCTATACTAGTTGACAACTCAGGAAGCCGGAAGGCGGGTGGGTTTTAAATTCCTTCCTCTAATCAGATTAACATTTAACAGAGATTCCTTTACTTGGTTAATTAGTTTGGAGCGTGAAAGCCGAATCCGTTGCTCTGTATATTTCCATGATTCAGTCTGTGACCAATGTGGTCTAGTTTGTTTGAGTAACACACCCTTTTCAAATAGAAACTGGAGATGTGGTCTAGTTTGTCTTGTATTTTTGTCGCTTTAATTTTTGTTCTTTGGTTGACTGATCTGTGCGTGCGTATTGGGTGGGGGTTGCAGCTGAGGATAGAGCAACGAGCGGGTCGAGTGTTTAGTGGGTGGGAAGAAGGGGTGATATATTTCGCTCCGACCTACAAATACATCGCCGATTCTGACGATTACGTTCTCCACACCTCTAATTCTAAATCATCAAAACAAAAGAGGCGCACGCCTGCCTGGTATGGTTTATATATGTTTTAAGCTTTAACCCCCTCCCTCTGTTTTTTACTTGTTCCGCTCCATTTAGTTTTGTCGACCACTCATACTTTGAACTTTGTTCACATAACCTGCTGCGTTTATACGCACTGAATTCGATCCCTATCTTTCAGTACGAAATAACATTAATTGGTACATGACCAATTTGTGCCATAGTTATTTTTAATAATCTAATCTTATGCGTTGAAGATAAAGATAAATGGCACAAAATTGACTGCCAAGTATATATGTAGTAGCGATCCATTAGCCATGTTTCCACCAGGTTCGGAGTGGTATATAGTTCCATGTATATATTGCATTTTGGGAGAAATTTCTAATTTGGATTAGAGAGAAATTACAACTAAGTAATACTTTTGTTTGCATAGGTGCGACCGGATACTATGGAAAGGGGAAGGAGTGAAGCAGATGTGGTACATGAGAGGGGAATCAAGGTTCTCGGATCACAGGCCCGTTTATTCATTGTTCTCTGTGCAACTTAACGTGGCTAACAACAACAGGGTCAGGGTCAGGGTCAGTACTTCAACCGGAACAGCCGTACACGCCGCAAGCCGCAGCAATATTATTTCTCCGTCGACATTGCTGGCTAGCATGTCATCATCGTGCATAACTAGGGTGCAAGCCGAAGAGCTTCTGCTATTAACGAGGGAGCACCATGCAAGCTGCTGCATTTAACGAGGGACCGTCTCCAGGTCCTCCTGATCATTCTTTTTACCCATTCATCAAAATCTGGAGCAGCCCACCTTCGCAAGTTAGGCTAACAGCAGAACAATGCATTACACTTGAAGTGAGATGTGTTAAATCAAGTTAACAGAGGGTTAGAATGTAATCTGTTCCATACGTAGCTTAATTTCTTTTTTATCCACCCCTACCAAAATAAAAAAGAATTTTAAATCATAAGCCTGAGGATATGCAAGCCTCATACTTGATTCACACGTTGAAGATTGGGGAGTGAATGCGAATATATTGTCCCAAACCCCACTTATCATTTTGGTCAAAAAGCCCATTCAAAATCTTGTCATTTTGGAAGCATAGCTTTTTTTTTTGCAAAAATCAATTCATGAGGAATATTCAAACTTTTATATATTTGTCTTATAAAAACAGTTTGCAAATTGCTGATTACTATTTTCTCAAATATTTAAAAAATTAGGCTTCAAAATAGCATTTATAAAATACTGAAGTAACAATATATATATATATATATATATATATATATATATATATATATATATATATATATATATATATATATATATATATAT